CTACCATCATCATCGTCATCATCATTGTTACCATTATTTTTCATTACAGTGGAACCACGATATAACGAACCTCTATATAACGAAGTCTCTGGTATAAGGAACGATTTTCTTTACCCCAGTAATAGTAAAATATGTGGAAAAGTACCTCGATATTAACGAAACCTCGTTATAGCGAACAAGTTTTGCCAGTCTCTTGGCACTTCGTTATATGAATAATGAATAACAAAACTACAAAAGAATAAAGTCAATCTTGTTAAAGGGCCATGATTAGTTTTACTATAATGTGCCCTTCTCCATTCAAATTTTCTTCTTTTATTATCATTATTATTTACACGTAGTTTAAGCAACTTTGTACCAATTGATATTGTACAACTAATGTATTATTAATATTGTACAACTATTGTATTATTGTACAACTAATGTATTATAGGATGGAGTAAAAAATAAAAATACAAAAAATACAAATACTTCGTTATATCGAGGTTCCACTATATTATCGTCATAATCTTAACTAAGGTGTCTAATAATTTTAGCGCCTAATTAGGGACACATGTAGAATGTGTCAAGGCATGTATAGGGAATGTCCAATTTATGAACTTCTTGTTATCACGGTTTCCAAAAATTCTCCTTACCATGATCTTATTCCAAGAGACCCGGTTGTCAAACCTCACGAGAGAGCTTGAAAAAAAAAATGGCACTTATTTCCATCTTGGTTATCCCAGTAAAAAAACACCTCCCTGATTAACATTTTCTTTGCATTGTTTGAACTGAAACTTTTAACAAAAAATATTGTATAATGTTCGCAAAGATAATCTGCGTTTGTTTGGGAGAATTTTGCATTATGTCCACGGTCTATCATTTTTCTGCCATTGGTTTTTGTTGTTGTTTTTGTTGTTTTCTCTTCATCATTAACAGCACAAATGTGACGTTTGTTTAAACTGTTTTCCACTGGAAAAACTTAAACCCTTTATAGGCGTAAGAAAAGTCAGTAAAATATCTGTATCTTAGTGTAAATTCTATAAACGTGCACACTTACAGATATTTTATAAACCCTGTAAAAGGTCTCTAGTTTAGACCCCGTCAGTTTTATTCGACCAGATCGCATCTAATGTCCGTAAATCCCAATGTTTTCTTTGTAACGACTTGAACGGATGTTAGAGTGATTACACATAACTATAGTTTTACGTGCTGTGTTCAAACGAACTTTATGGAAACGCATACTTTACGTAGCCTAATCTCTTTAGATTCCATATTCCTCTACTATAATAGTTACAGTCACCCTTGTCCTCAGGCCAGCTCACGTTATACGAGTGCGCGGTCGGGAAGGAAGGCTTTGAACCCAGCGCGAGAGCACCGGTTACGTCGCATTAGAAATCAACAAGGAAGACTGGGAACGAGGCTGGGTTGGAGTAAAAAGGTCTTGCAAGTGCTACAGACAATTCTATTTTGAACTCTGAGAACAGAAATCACATTAAGGCACCCCTAACGTTTTATAACGGCATTAATTGGTTGGCTTGGGCATAAAGGAAACAGTGGAATGCCTAATTATTTCATTTCTAATTTCTTATACATGTAAAAGTATGTTAGACAGGGCCGAAAAATTTATTTAGGACTGAAGCAATCAGCGGCAAGAACATTATTGCTTCATCTTTTTTGTTTTATCGAAATTTGGAAGATTTTTGAGCGTTTGCAACTTTAAAGGATGTTTTAAGGGCCATAAAATTGTATCTATTGAGGCCGTAGCTAGGGAAAATCCGACATGACCATTCGGAGAAGAAGCCAAGCTTATGTGCTTAACTTTTGGGGGAACTTTTGTAGACAGTCTTTTTACTTTCGATGCCTCGCCTCAGGAGGTACAGCATAAGAAGATAAGGTTATCATAAGTTTTCCTGGTAGACTCAACTACGGAGAAGACGTTTTCGCTATAAATACGAATAATCCTCTTTATTTTTTACAGGACCTTTTCGCTATCCTTTCCAATCGAATCATGCAGTAAAATTCAAGCGTTAATTAAAATAAAACAATAACACTCATGGCACAAAACAATATATTCCGCCCAGTCGGCAGCCGAAAAACTGGAAGAAAACATAACCGGAAGTCAATTTCTACTTGCACAGTTACCGGGTTACCCTGCAACGAGACAGGATAATGAGCCCAAAGTGTGGAACTGACATTTTTACCCGACCACTTTACCTTAGGGGCTAATTACACGGAGGGAGGAAGATCCTAGAAGGCGTTGGGTTTATATGCAGAAATTTTGGTCCGTATGGTTACCAAGTAGAGAAGGAATTGAAGATGGTGAGCGACAATAACAAATTTATAATTTGGACCCTTCTGCTCTCTTAACTGGCGTTAAAAACTACTTTTTAGCAGAATTATCACAATTATCAGCTCCTGGTAGCGCCAAACGAATTGGTCAGCCCTTACTGCCGTGATTACCCAGTGAACGACTAGCCGCCACTTTCTGTCTGGTTTGTCCCTAGCACTAAGATTTTCCTAGCGAAGGCAGTTTAAATGATGCTAAGATCTTCTTACTACTATGATCTTTCTACCTCTCAGCTAGGAAGATTCTAGCTGATTCTAGCGCTAGGGACAAGTACAACCCTTTGCATGTAAACTGAATAATTTACAGAAAACATAAATGGTGCTAGGAAGTTACGCCTTCTAGGATCTTCGTGGCGCTTGGATCTTCCTCCCTCCAAGAAAACAGCCCCGTAGAATATTTTGTCCACGCGCACGATTTCAGATTAATTTGTAACTTTTAGCCAATCACTGCCAGGTACGTCCTGACTACTTTTGCGCAAGTTTGAACTTCGATCCGTACTGTTCTAGATTATTTTTTCCTATTTATTTTTTTTATATAAAATTGATAAAAAACTCTTGTATATTACAACAAGACGCTTCCACGGCACCTATCTAGAGATTTAAATCCTCTAAGAGATTTTATATACTCGATAAATTTAAGTTTCTGATAAATGTACGAATATGTACAAATACGCAGTTACTACGAGAAGACCGTATCTTAGCAGATTAACCACTAACTATATTTCAGTGCAAGGGTTTAGACTTTCGCTACATAAGTGAAGTAGTTATGATTTAGCACGGAGAGTGGTTTCCTGAGTCGTATGTATCTTTAAAACAAACATCACATCTGTTAAACCAAGCTGAGCACTCGGTTATATGCTCACACTGAATGAATTAAACAAAACATTTCTGCCAAATCTTTACGCCCAACAAATTCGTGACACAAGGCGTCCCCCAAGACCTCGTAAGTTGCATCCGAACCAAGTCTTTGTTTCCACTTTTGCAACATGGCTAATTGCTTTTCTGTGTACGTTTCTTTGCTGGTATTAAATCCGTCTATGTCGGCTTTTTCGAATCCAAGGCGCCAAGCAAGAGCTTGCCAAGAGTTGCCGAGCTTTAAAGACAATCCTTGCAAATCATAGTCATCCACAGGGCCAGGTCTAAAGTCTCCTTTTAAAAAAAGTGTAAAAAGTGTATTTTGGAATTTCCAGTAACCTTACACATATTACTCTCTTCCTACATTTCTACATTCTCTCGATCACCCAAAATACTCTTCACAGTCTCGAAAAACTTGACAGCTTATGAAAGGTATTCTAGCCAACGTGGCTGACGTTCGAAATAGTAGTTGTATGGTTGATTAATGGTTGCAAAGACTTTGTTTGGTATAATACTTTGAAAGCCGCTGTCACATCGGAATTTTCCAACCTGGTCTTAAAATGTGCATGGTAACCTCTTTCAACTTCTATCGGGTGAAGAAAAACCTACCTAAAGACCTATAATACATATAATAATGTTTTTTAATGCAACGTACCTTCTGTCATCTTCCGTGCTTTCTTAGCAGCTACAAAAGAATATAAGTAACGTTTAAAACAGGCGCATCTGAATACCGTGTGGCACGGAATTTTGGCGGGAGTTTATTTTTGGGGATTGGCGATTCAGTTTGCGTTTTGCGTAACTAATATTTGCAATAAGGACAGATTGGTTTTTCTTATTGGGAATGATTTTTTTTTTCGCAATTTTCATAAAGTACCCAGTATCCAGCATTGATAATATTTTCGTTTTTGCGCCAGAAAGAGAAGCAACTTAGAAAAACTTACCAGGCTGTCTGGGCTCGTCTGCAGCCTACAGAGACAAAACAATCAGTATTAGAGCAGAGGTCTTCCCGACTGTCATGGATAGACAAGTGAAGGGTTTTTCTATTGCATTTGATCTAGCCTGAGTATCAGGCCTTCCTAAGGGGATGGGGGAGAGGAGATTTTTGATGGGGGAGGGGGGAAGGGGGAGAAGAGAAAGGAAGGCCTGACACAAAACCATTCAGCAAATCGTGTGACACATCCAGATTCTGGATGTGGCAGTGATTGGATAACACACAATACGCCCTGACGTCACCGACCGCAAGTAAACACGAGCAGAGTGTTTTGATTTCATGTGGTAATTTTATGGATAGAGACGCAAAGAGGAATTCAAAGAGACTCTAGAGGGCGCTCTCAAGTTCTTTCCGCGAATAAAAATAAAACCCGAGCAAGAATAGTGTTTTCAAAGCCTCCTAGTTAAAAGGAAAGATGTTCTCGGAGTATGGAAAAGCCTCATATACCAGCTTCTGCCGAAACTATGTCCGAGTATTGGTTTCACAAGACCAGGACAAAGAAGACGATATCAGTGCTTCAGATATCTAAGTTTTGATTTACAACATCCTGCCGCTAAAAGGGTATTGTTACTGTAAATAAAATTAGAGCGAGGTAGCCATGTATTGAGAATAGCCGACAGCACCAAGGCTTTAGCTTGACTTTAGATTTTCTCTCGGACGATTTTCGGCCTGATCTACAGCAGCTCATTAGCTGCCAGATTCTCAGGAACCTGCTTATTAATGAGCGCCGCTGTTGTAACTCTGTAAACAAAAGCAGTTTACAGTTTTCCGGCCACACGTTTATTTACAAACAGAGCGTTGACGATCTTACATTAGCACAATTCCTAAAACATGTTACAAAACATGTTCAAAAACGGCAGGTTTTCCATTACAAGTATTCGAAAACTCCTCATTGGAGGTTTCAGAAAAAGCGAAATCGTAGCAACACAGACACCAGAGCTCGGCCAGACCGTATGGTGAGATTTATTTTAGGCGAGCTTTTTGACACGTGAAGCTGACAACTCAATGACCGGATGTGATTTTGATTGGATGGTATCGAATCATGCTGTGTGGGGGTGGAAGGTTCCAGTAAAAGCATCTGTGTCAGGCGTTTCTCTCCTTCAGCTGTCTCCCTTTTTCGCTTCCATCTTTCCCCTTTTCCCCCAGAAACGCCTGATACTCAGGCTACATTTGATCCAAATGATCATGACACTGATGACGATGATATTTTTATTTACCGTTTTACTGAAGAGACACTTTAGAAAAAGGTTAAAATTCAACATGATACGGTTTTCATCGGCTATTGAAAGTACAAGTGTCACGCATCCCTGACGGTTTTTCTACAGGATAACTCCTTTATTGGAGTTACTTTGACTCCTAATTTGATTCCAAACCTGCGTTGTTTTTACTGCTAAAAAAGAGTTCTTTTAACTCTCAGTCTGGAGTTAAAATAGACAAAAAAGGTTATTTTTACTCCTTACTTGAGTTGTTTTTACTCTTTTTGGAGCTAATTTAACTCTCAAAGTGGTGAGTAAAAATTTTAGGCACAGGATAACTGCTCTTTAGAAGGTTATTTTAACTCCTGAGTTTTAACTCTTATTCTAATTTTTACTCCCTCAGATGAATGGAAAGGGACAAATTTAATCTTCAAAGAGTGTAGTAGGTACAAAGCGAAATTGGCAGTGGATTTTTCTCCAAAATGTTACCTTTTGTCTTAAGTGTAACTCTGTTAGAATTGGTCAGAATATCCAAAACAAAGCATTGCTGGAAAGATGTATCTTTGCTAATCTTGTTGTTTACCAATTTATTAACTTAAACTGAAAGCTAAATGGGTCCAATAATTAAAATATGCATCCTTCCATATGGAGTGTTAAGTTTTCAAACAAATTGGTTTAAAGCGACTCTCTTTTTCGCTTCCGTTGGCATGCTAAGAAGAGCTAAAAAATAACTTAGTAAATGACTGTTTTAGACCAAGCACAAAGGATATTTAACAATTATTCCAAGAGTGCGCGTTGCATATGAAATGGTAAATTGCCAACGAGGCGTGTAGCGCCAAGTTGGCAATAATCATCTCATATCGAACAAGCGCGAGTTAAATAATTGTTTTATTTAAAACATCCACAAAATACCTAGAATTCTCCCCGACTTTATTCGTAAAAAAAACAACCGATTTTCAGCTTGTTTTTAATTTTGAGCAGACGTGTACAGTTACCTGATTTAGAGAGCATGGTATAAAGGCTCATATAAAACGACGACTAAGCCAATCACAGCTCTAGAATTGCATTATCTAATGATTCAGTTTTTAATAATTAAAAATATCCTTTATGCAATATTCAGTGTAAAATCTGTTAGAAGGTTAGGCAATTAAATATACCCTCAGGGACCTTCATCATCTTCACTTTTACCCAGTCTTAAAACTTTTCAACTTCTATCCTAGTTTGTTTCGCTTTAAACTTCCTTTTAAAGGAGTTAGTTGTAATGTTTTGCACGGCTCTCTAACAGAGAGCGCATGTTTCGGCGGCCATACACACTAGGGAACTTAAGGTGACTCGACCCAGCTTTTTGGGGGGAGTACCATCCTACTTTGAAGCTCTCTGGTATCCCCACCTTTACTTTTATCGTAAGTCTAACACATAGAATGGATAACATATAGATCAATCTACAATAAAACATAAAATTTTTGGCGATCGGAGTAAATGTCACGGGGTTATAATGCCACGCCCCTTTGAGGTCTGAGTCGAAAATCTGCTGTTGCCGGCATTTTTTTCGTGAAAATCTCTCGGTTACACATAGTGCGCATTAGTGCCATGCGCTGATCAGAGTTTAACCAAAATCGCAAAGACCCAATTCGAGAAATTCAGCGGTTTCCAAATTTAGGTCATAATTAATGCGAAAATGATAAGCAAACCTTACACGATTATATCTAATAAACTATGAGATTCATCCCTTTATTTTGGGCATCGTTATAACAGATGGGCCCTTGTAAGTCAGCAAAACGCTTTAGGGCCTTGTAAATGCGCGCGATTTCGAGCAAAGCAAACATATAGAAATTATAGTTTTCGCTATTTGTTGACGTTTGTCAGCGTTTAAGAGTCCTTCTCACGAAAAAAGCATTTTCTTAAAAATTCGCAGTTTTTTTTCCTTCAAATTTTTTCAGCGCCACAATTGATTAACTAACTACCCGGACTCTGAATTTCATGGTCATTGAAAAACTGTGACATTATCTTCTATAAGCCCAAACTTGAGTAAACATTGAAGATTTTTAGCGTTTTGGCTGAGTTTGTGCTTTGGGAGTTGTCTATTGTTTCTAGCCTGTCATTATACAGCATTCTTGTTCAGCACGCGTGCAATGACCGCGTTTGGTTGACTTCCGAATGCTCACCGAGATATGATAATTTTGGTACAGTGAGACAGGCCATAGCGTGATACAGAGGTTTAACTCACAATTTTTAATCAATTCTCGTGCTTCTTGTGCCTTTGCAAAAAATCAAGAAGTGCTACACACTAAATCTACTTACTATTAAAAAAATATCATTTTTCATAGGTTTAATGAAAGCCAATAATTAAACCAACTCGTGACGGGAATCCCTTCTATTTTCTCATACTAAATTAATTATCATATCTCGGTGAGCATTCGGAAGTCAGCCAAGCGTGGTCATTGCACACGTGCTGAACAAGAATGCTGTATAATGACAGACTAGAAACAATAGACAACTCCCAAAGCACAAACTCAGCCAAAACGCTAAAAATCTTACATCTTACAAGGACCCATCTGTTATAACGATGCCCAAAATAAAGGGATGAATCTCATAGTTTATTAGATATAATCGTGTAAAGTTTGCTTATCATTTTCGCATGAATTATGACCTAAATTTGGAAACCGCTGAATTTCTCGCATTGGGTCTTTGCGATTTTGGTGAAACTCTGTTCAGCGCAAGGCACTAATGCGCACTATGTGTAAAAGCAGATTTTCGACTCAGACCTCAAAGGGGCGTGGCATTATAACCACGTGATATTTACTCCGATCGCCAAAAATTTTATGTTATATTGTAGATTGATCTATATGTTATCCATTCTATGTGTTAGACTTACGATAAAAGTAAAGGTGGGAATACCAAAGAGTTTCAAAGTAGGATGGTACCCCTCCAAAAAAACTGGGTCGAGTCACATTAAGTAAAGGCGTTTTTGAGAGACGCACGTCAACCGGAAGTGAGGTCTTTTTCATTTTGAAATATATTGACGATACCAAATTTGTATTTCGTAGCCTTCTTCTTATTATAGAGACTGTCCAAATATTTGGACAAAAATACCGCTCAAGAATGAAAAAAGTCCACTTCCGGTTGACGCGCGTCGCTCAAATACGGGGTAGCGACCACTAGCCCTGGTCGTCTTTGTTTCTTATTGCAGCTCAAGTAGAAAAAACTCTATTCTATTTTGTGAATAATAGACAGGGTTAATGACATCTACTTCAGGTCTGCTACCCCAGCCTCGTTGTTTCTCGCTTTATCAAAGTGGGACCAGAAGGCTTTAGGACTGGTTTTACAGGCACCTTCGAGAAACTCAGTTGTATATTGGTCCCGAGATTTTGATAAGGCTTTGTGCAGAGCTTTTCTGGTGTCTCTAAAGTTAGAACAGTCTTCAGGGTTCTTAGACTTTTTGGCTCTGTTGTATAGCTTCTTTTTCTTCCGACAAAGGCGGCGGTGGGAGGATATAAAACAGGGAAGATTATAACGACCAATTTACGCACTGAAGCACACGTACCAGCGGTATGGCCATTACCTTACGCATGCTCAGAACCTTATCACCCAGGCAGTGGCAGCCTGATGAACCCCAAAAAAGGCAAAACAGCTGTTCATGGCTGCCACTGCCCGGGTGATATGGTTGTGCGCATGCGCAAGGTACTGGCCATACCGCGAACGTGGTATGTGTGCTTCAGTGCATAAATGTACTTTCCGCTTCTGCAACCTTTTCCTTTCAGGGTGAGAGATATGTCCAGAAATGCACGCATTGGCGAAAATGGCAGAAATGGCAATTAATCGCCAAAATCGCCAAACTATAAACAAAAATTCAAATGAGATGGCAAAGGGGCCCTTTGGAAAGTGGCGATTTCGGCGAAAATAGCGTATTTGGCGAAAATGGCAGAAATGGCGCTTAATCGCCAAAATCGCCAAACTGTAAACAGAAATTCAAATGAGGTGGCAAAGGGGTCCTTTGGAAAGTGGCGATTTCGGCGAAAATGGCGTATTTGGCGAAAATGGCAGAAATGGCAATTAATCGCCAAAATCGCCAAACTATAAACAAAAATTCAAATGAGATGGCAAAGGGGCCCTTTGGAAAGTGGCGATTTCGGCGAAAATGGCGTATTTGGCGAAAATGGCAGAAATGGCAATTAATCGCCAAAATCGCCAAACTATAAACAAAAATTCAAATGAGATGGCAAAGGGGCCCTTTGGAAAGTGGCGATTTCGGCGAAAATGGCGTATTTGGCGAAAATGGCAGAAATGGCGCTTAATCGCCAAAATCGCCAAACTGTAAACAGAAATTCAAATGAGATGGCAAAGGGGTCCTTTGGAAAGTGGCGATTTCGGCGAAAATGGCGTATTTGGCGAAAATGGCAGAAATGGCAATTAATCGCCAAAATCGCCAAACTATAAACAAAAATTCAAATGAGATGGCAAAGGGGCCCTTTGGAAAGTGGCGATTTCGGCGAAAATGGCGTATTTGGCGAAAATGGCAGAAATGGCGCTTAATCGCCAAAATCGCCAAACTGTAAACAAAAATTCAAATGAGATGGCAAAGGGGCCCTTTGGAAAGTGGCGATTTCGGCGAAAATGGCGTATTTGGCGAAAATGGCAGAAATGGCAATTAATCGCCAAAATCGCCAAACTATAAACAAAAATTCAAATGAGATGGCAAAGGGGCCCTTTGCAAAGTGGCGATTTCAGCGAAAATGGCGTATTTGGCGAAAATGGCAGAAATGGCAATTAATCACCAAATCGCCAAACTGTCAACAAAAATTCAAATGAGATGGCAAAGGGGCCCTTTGCAAAGTGGCGATTTCGGCGAAAATGGCGTATTTGGCGAAAATGGCAGAAATGGCAATTAATCGCCAAAATCGCCAAACTGTAAACAAAAATTCAAATGAGATGGCAAAGGGGCCCTTTGGAAAGTGGCGATTTCGGCGAAAATGGCGTATTTGGCGAAAATGGCAGAATTGGCGCTTAATCGCCAAAATCGCCAAACTGTAAACAAAAATTCAAATGAGATGGCAAAGGGGCCCTTTGGAAAGTGGCGATTTCGGCGAAAATGGCGTATTTGGCGAAAATGGCAGAAATGGCGCTTAATCGCCAAAATCGCCAAACTGTAAACAAAAATTCAAATGAGATGGCAAAGGGGCCCTTTGGAAAGTGAGGATTTTGGCGAAAATGGCGTGCACTAATTCTGTATCTTTTCATCAACCACAAATAAAAAAAAAATATAGAGTGCATGTTGGCCTCGTTGTTAAAACGTGTTTTGGCAGAAATGGCAATTACTCGATGAAATACCTAATTTGTCAAGACAAATTGAAATGACATAGCAAAGGGTCCCTTTTGAAATGGCTATTAATTGCCAAATAGTTAACCACATATTAATATAAAAATGTTTCCAATAGTATAATTGTATACTAATAATGACACTAAGTGTCATTAATCTGTTTTTAATGCTTTTACCTTTAATTGATAACCTCTTGTGATTTGAAATTCGTCCCACACAAGAGTGTTCGGTGGGGAATTACCACTTATAACTAATTTCTTGCTCGATTCAAATCGAATGGCCAACGAGTTGTATTCAATTATCAGTAAATGGTAATCTTCGTAATGTTCATGGCAACTTTCTTACCAAAAAATCCAAGATAGGTATCCTTAATTTTCCAGGCTTGTAGGCATTGTTTGAATAGCGACAGTTCAACATTATATGTTATGAGGAATCCAGGTTGGTTCTTGGCTACGCATTCAGATAATTAGATGGTCCGTATTGCCTTGTATATCCATCCTGTTTGTTATAATGGCGTTCAATCGTACAAGTATATATAAACGAGCTGGTTCATTGCAGTTTCACAGAACATGAACGTATAAGGTTTAGTAGTTGTTATACAGACGCGGCGACCATGTTGAAATAGTCGATTTTGGATAACTACTCTATGTAAGTAGAAACGATTAGTGTCATTCCCAGCCGACTTTGGTGGTCACTCTATGTTTATAGCTCCTCTATGTAAGCAAAACGATTAATGTCGTTCACAGGGACTCTCAGGCAATTGTTAAAATAGAAGGTAAAAAGGCCGGGTGACGTGTTTCGACGAGCATTAGCATTAGCAATTTAATGGAAACATATTGTACTGAGAATTGGTTTGGTGGTCTCAGCGCAAAAAAAACAATACATTTTCTAAATTTCTGGCCCCACCTCATAAAAGCAATAATGGGACACATTTTTTTGAAGAACGAGACAAACATGTACACTCTCTTTTTATATATCTAGGTGATGAAAAGATACAGAATTAGTTTGAATGGGATATGTTTTATGAAAGAGACAAACAAGTTATTGCTTTGATCCAATGTTTATGTTCAATAAATGCGGTGAAGTATTGGGCACAAGTGACATTTCGTGCAGGTTTACATAAAGTGGAAATAAGCGAAATCACACATTTCAAAATGGCGCACGCAAGCTGCTGGACATTTCGGCTTTCGTTACTTTTAGGGGACCGTTTCTCTAAAGAGCAAAGCAAGTAAGTGCGAGAAGAAAGTGAAGAGTTTAAAACGACGGAAGAAGATAATGTGTATAGTGGAGAACCAAAAAAGAATGAAGGGCACACACTAGCTGGTTATCGTGAAAGCATCTTTTAGCCAGGAACCATGCGTTGCGCAATCGCTTTTGATTTAAGGCTGCCTCACAATTTAATGGAACCAATGTGAAGAGAATTGTAACCAGTGAGGATTGTTAAGGTCTACATCGAACCTCAAAAGTTAGAGTGTCCATGGCAAGGAATTATTATGATTTCAAGGACTTGGTAGTTCTCTCCTCGAGTAATTAGTGGACTTGTAAGTCTTTGAAAGGAATGAACCATACAAAAGCAAATGATGCTAGTGTGATATTTCAGCGCATCAAATCACTTTTGGTAAGTCAAGCGACATCGAAAGTAAGGAAATGTTTACTTAACCTGTGAAGTACATGGCACAAATACATATTAGCTTAACTGAAACGACTTGCATTTGTTGTTTTCAGATATATTTGATTCAGTTGTATTTGATAAAATAATGTTGTTTGACAGTTAGGTAAAGCTGTTTTGTCATATATTTGATTCAGTTGTATTTGATAAATGTTGCCTCACAGTTATTGGGGCCTCTTATTAGGCAAGTAATTTGAACTTTTTTTTAGTACTGTTGCCTCGCAGTTATAAGGACCTCTTTAGTTATCTACTTTGAAGGGGCCACTTTTGGCATCCAATTTGAATATTTTGCCACATATCGCCAGCCCTCTGGCGATTTTTGCCAAAATTGCCAATTTCGCCAAAATCGCCATTTTCGCCAAAATCGCCAGCCTCCAAGGGGCCACTTTTGGCATCCAATTCAAATCGCCAGAGGCTGGTGATTTTTCGCCAGTTTCACCATTTTCGCCATTGCATGCATGGCGATTTTTGCCAAAATTGCCAATTTCGCCAAAATCGCCATTTTCGCCAAAATCGCCAGCCTCCAAGGGGCCACTTTTGGCATCCAATTCAAATCGCCAGAGGCTGGTGATTTTTCGCCAGTTTCACCATTTTCGCCATTGCATGCATGGCGATTTTTGCCAAAATTGCCAATTTCGCCAAAATCGCCATTTTCGCCAAAATCGCCAGCCTCCAAGGGGCCACTTTTGGCATCCAATTCAAATTGCCAGAGGCTGGTGATTTTTCGCCATTTTCGCCATTGCATGCATGGCAATTTTTGCCAAAATCGCCAATTTCGCCAAAATCGCCATTTTTGCCAAAATCGCCAGCCTCCAAGGGGCCACTTTTGGCATCCAATTCAAATCGCCAGCGGCTGGCGATTTTTCGCCAGTTTCGCCATTTTCGCCATTGCGTGCATTTCTGGACATAAGTGCAGGGTGAACCAGAGGATCGAAGAGTACCATGTCATGATCACTTCTACCAGCCGTTACTTTCAGTTTCTGCTTCCAAAACGTAGTAAAATTAAATTTACTCCACTGAAACACAATTCAATTCCTTTTGGAGTTAAAATAACTCCCAAAAAAACAACTCTACTCTAAGGAGTTAAATATTAATAATCCTGTTGATTTATTTTCCGATGTGTTTCAGACAGTACGTATTGAATGGTCATAGCTTAAAATAAAAATGTATGTCTTACCGGACGTTCAAGGCGAAGACGGGGAATTGTTAAGTACAATTTACCCAGTAAGCATTCCTCTGTGGGGCTCTCAATGCTACGGAATTCAACATTTGCTATAGGATCTTCCTCAACCACACGGACCCTCAAATTCTTTATCACTGGCGAATGGCAGTCAACCCTTAATTAAAAAAGAATTTAGATACACTCGTTATATATCCAACAACTGAACTTTCTGGCCAGAGCAAACAGCTGAAATCAACTTTTGACACGTGCTAAAACGCCTTTCTTGTATTTGTGGTTGAGTAATTCCATAGTATTCGCATTAAGTCATTTTAAAACATGTTTAATCATACAATGGGGTGTGAATAGTAAGCCAATTTTGATTGGTCGTTGTCCAACATCCAATGGAGTAGAGACACTCGGGTGACGCCACGGGAACTTTTTTTGTCCAAAATGGCGGGGGGGGAAATATTTGCTAGAAACTGCGGGGGGGGAAGCTTTTAGAAAATCCGGAAGTATGAATAACATTATCTAGCCTCGGATACTGAATAACTCATAGCTATTTAAATAATCCTATAAAAACGGAAGACGAAAGAAAGGATTTCAACTTTTTTGCTTAACGTAAAGATTGAAATCCGCGCGAAACACGAGAAATCAGGATACAAAACAAAGCGGCAAGATGGTGAGCGAACTGGACTTCGCTATCCTCTCCTTCCTTAGTTTTGTACTTGGAAGTTTTTACACTTACACGAGAAAGAGGGCACCTTGGTCTTTTGGGTCATGTGGACATACCCCTCCTGTGACAAAGATAAATGCTTTGTCTAGCCATGGTCTCATAGGTTCACTTGAGCTCACTTCGCTTGGCTTGCTTGTTATGTCCGGATCATCCTTAAGCTCCTTTAAAAAATCCTTTCTGAGATGATATGGGCAACATACAAGAATTATAATTTCATTGCGGGACCCTGGAGAGAAGTAAGCCAAGAAGTACGGCCTTATGTACATATTCTGCGACAGGCGACCAACATTTTCAGGGACACTAGAATCTTCGTTGCGCCCATCAAGAAAAACCCAGTATCTGAAATAGAGAAACAGAAGGGCAAATTGTCTTAAGTAAAAAGTTAGTGGAGCTTGCTTTAGCAGAGCGAGACCCTAAAAATGCCCCCCCCCCTTTTTTTTTTTTTCGTGTATCCCGTCGCAAAAAGGGGGGCATTCTCCCAGGCGGTCCTAGCGGAGACCGTCGGGATGAAAACTGCTTTCATTGCATGCAAATGAGCATCCAATTTATTTTCGGCGATGACTGAAATAACGTATGAAAGTTGAACACGATTTCGCTGTTTGGCAATGACGTAATTTCACCCGAATCGAGGCCCTTGATTTTCGTGTAATTATGCACTTGTATTAAAAAGTAATTATTATTCATTCAAAATATTTCTCCTTTTCTGATTGGCTAAGATTACACGCATAATTCATCATAACGAGCTTCGGTTGACCAAATTTGGAAGAATTTTGTCATATTGAACCGATGACGTCAAAAGTACAACCAAAGCTGCAGGTTATTGAACTGTTAACCGAGAAAACCTGGGGACGAGGTTGAGTTGTTTTTTCAGTGAGAACAAAACGGCGGAAGAGTGGGAAGAAAAATTTTACTCATTTCACGGCGAAATATTGTCTTAAAAAAGGCAAGAACAGCAAGAAGACAACTCGACTGACGACATCGGCTATCTGGAGAATATTTGCAGACCTGAACACACCTTTATCTCCTAAATTTCCCGATAAAGATGCACTGCTGATATGGACTTAACATCGACCGAGGTAAGCATGTTTTAGCTTGTTTTTACACTTGCAAATTGTTTTGAATGAATAATAAAGCAATTATTGAATTCGGCTTTCGTTGGATATGAAGAATTCTGTAGATCTCGGAGGGTGTTATCCACCTCGGCCCGAAAAACACCCTCCTCGATCTGCAAAATTCTTCATATCCTACACAACCTCATTCAATAATTGATAGCAGCATACAGCATTTTGGGGATGTATTCAGGCGCTACGATTCTCAGAATATTGTCGCAATTACTGGAACTCTACGGTGATTTAACGTTCGAGTACTAGTGGAAGGAACTTCAACTTCGAGTCTGATGTTACGCATGTTGTCACAGATGTGTTTATACGGGTAACTTTGTACTTGACTGTCACGCACTCTTTTTGCAGCACTCCATGTCCATAGAATAAAAATCCCATAGCACGAGCTTTCCCGAAACGGGTCGGTCCACGACCTCTGTTGCTTGAAAGCGTTGATTACTTTGGAACAATTGATTTCTTCAGTGGTAGAAATAAAGAACAATCTTCGAGGTTTACTGAAAAACCAGGATCGAGGATGGAGGATGGAGGATAGAGGATCGGGCATCGAGAATCGAGGATCGAGGATCGGTTAAAAAAAATGAAAATAAAATAGATAAATAAACTAGTTGTAGCTTTCGCTAAGTGCCAACGAAAGAAAAAGAATTTGCCTACATCACCGGTTTTAGTTCCAATGTTTATAGCTGGTGAGGCGAGAATTTCCACTACAAGTACTCCTTTCCTACATTTCTGCCATGCTCTTGGCCTTAAAATCGCTCTTATTCTTCTGCTTAGACATTTTTGAACCTTAAACTTGTAGAGTTTCAAACAGCGAAAGGGAAATAACATTTATAGGTTAGCGCGAACTTGAAATAGCGAGTTGTAGTTCGTACGAGTACAGTAGTTAGGCAGAGAACTATGTCCGAACTTTGGAGGTTCGTTTGTTTACAACAAAGGTCATCAAAAGTCACGTGAAACTACATGTGAAATCTAACGCCACTAAAATCCTTAGGGAATCTACGCCTTCCATCACACTTTTCACAGCACGATCGAGAATTTTCCTGCCTGCTGCAATACTTCACGTGGCATTAAGCTGGCAGCCTCGCAAGCCGACCGTCTTCGCTCGGCTTGCTCGTTGGCAATAAATATATCGTGGATCTTGGTAATGTGGGCCCCAGACTGTAGATAAATTTCACAGAACATAACCCCTCTCGCTGTACTGAGCACTAAATTTAAGTAAACTACTCCGAGTCCGACTGAGTCAGTTATTGTTTTGACGAAAAAGTGAAATTTTCCTGAAAAATGAAACGCTTTATCCCAGTGATACTGTGATAAAATGCATGCTGTATACAGTTTGCATTAGAAGCAGATACCAGGCAGCCATGGAAAATGTAATTATTTTCAGGCATTTTGATCTCTTATAAAACGAACAACAAATTTCAACAGGAATACGCGCGAACTTCAACTGTCTGTTGTATAAGGTTCTGCTAAACTTATACACTGTTATACATTTTTCCCCTGTTGAACAAAAACTGTGTACCGAGCCGTATCTTGTCCGCTACATAGAGGCTATAGATATTACTACTGAAAAAAAATTATAGTTTAATTTTTTGAGTGTAAAATCCCTGAAAGAGTTCTCCCCCTCACTGAAGCAATATCAATATGCAGAAGGTTTTCAAAGGCTTCACACCGGTGTGAAGCTAAGATGTGCGGCCTGTCTCTCCTTGCAATTTTCACGTTGTGAGTATTTACATCATGAAATATAGCACTCGTTTTGTATTCCAAACGAAAAAGTGGCATAACGGCCCCGGCTGACAACAAAACTTATCTACAACTCAAGCATACGAGACTCAACGCTACTAAGACCTTGTTTTAATGTAAATTCCTCAGCTATAAAATTACGATAAAATTTTACCAATAAAACTTTCCCTAATAAACGCCATATCTAGTAAATGACAGGCTAATTAGCCACACCACATTCAGTTATAACTTCGGCGGCACCCCAACACAAGAACGCAGCGGCATGTTTGGAATTTCATTAAGAGAAGCGATTATTGAGAAACATTGCATTTTTTTAAAAACCAGCTGCAGGGTCCTGCAGTGAACGAGTGAATGAGTCCTAATGAATTTTTTATACGTTTAAAATGCAATGTCAGGGCTTTAATAAAACTACTCTAAATAAATATTAGTTAACGTTATTGCCATTAATTTTCCGAAGGGGTTGAATGTCATTGCATGCCACGTGATGCATGGCTCCATAATCAATCAATCATCGTTGGGGGAAGTAAACCCTTCTTTCAAACCAAAAATATATATTTTTACTCAACATATTCTTATAATAACAGGGAAGACGGTAAAGCAATCCAGCTATGAATCATGGGAGCAGAGCAACTGGACCCAACTAGAATGTTAATTTCTAGTTAGTTAAGTCTAGTTCGTTCCATTTCTGCAACGGTCGCCTTTTAATAACCGTATTCCCTCGAATAATAGCCCCCTCTCGATTAATCGCCTCCCTTGAGTAATCGTCCCTCTCACCCTTCTCGCCATCTTCTCTTTCTTTTATCCCTTTCCTGTCAAGTTGAAGTGGAGTCTGATGCGGCAAAACTCATCAGTGACGATTCAGGCTCTGACGCCGAGGATATTGACATTCAAAATTAATCAAGGAACCAAATTTGGAACACTAAAAAAGCCCATATTCAGTTTATTTTATTTGGTCATTTTTTTATTTAATGGGAAAATGAAACAATAAAAAGGGCATGACTTCCAGTGAGCAATGTTTAAAATAATCGCGTTCCCTCGAATTATCACTCCCTTTTTGTACGAAAAAAATAATAATCGCTCCCGGCTATTATTCGAGGAAATAAGGTACCTGTGATTAGCTTTAGTTTGTTGTTGTTGTTGTTGTTTTTTTTTTAATTGTCAAAGATGACCTAAGTTTTTAACAGTTTAGAGAGAAAAGAAAAAACAGAAAACTGGCTGACAGGAGGGAGATGTAGACCCCTGTCCCTTTCCCTGGCTTACAAGAACTACTATATCCATACCCAGAGAAGTGGTCAACCTGGAACCGAACAAACTTCCCATCAAAACTTGCAGGATCTAGAAGATCGCCGGTGATTTCAGTCCATTCTTTGTGTTCGCCTCTAGACCTCAGAAACAATACCCTGACACGGCACTTCGAGGTATTCCCAATTTCTTTCTGTTCACCTCGAAGAGAAACTGGCAACTGAACAGTGACAAGCTTTGCGAAACTAACGACGTGGGAGCAGTTGATCCGTAGTACAGGTCCAAACCATAAATCTTGTCCTTCAAATTCTCCTCTTGGAACTTCGTGTACCTTTAAGAATGTATAAGAAATAGATAGAAGAAAAGCATTTCCAACATTATTGGGCTTTTTTTTATTTGAGCGCATGAGATTAAAGGGACACAGTCGCCTTTAGGACCGCGCGCACTGACCTGGACACTGGCTATTTTTAATTTGCAACTTTGAAAAACCTTTACCTCAACCCTAAATCAACACCATCTTGCCTAGTGTTTCATTCGATCTCTCACCTTTTACAGAAAACTGTTCCGGAGTATTACTGATCCTATAATAACATCTTATCATATCTGGTTAAAAACAGTATGAATCGCATATCTTTGATTTGCAATTTAGCTAAGAAAAGGTATGTAACGCGCAGGTGCAAGCAGTAATCTTCAAGTCGGAATTTTACAAAGTTCCGTTGAACAACTTGTTTTATTTGCCAGTGCAGTGATGATTTGAAATAAAACCCAGTGCATATCCTTCTAGTATTCTCAAACAAGGGAACCATTGAAAAGATCGTCTGGCATCATTCTGACTTTCCGAATACTTGTCTTTGCCATCCTGTTCAAGTTTAGTATTAGTGTTCTCAAACAGACCTTATTCACGACATCCGCCATTTTTGCACGTGCATTAGGACTGATGGGTAAAAAGCAACGTCACGTGGTTTCTCAGGGTGCGAAAAAGTGATAAAATCTTCCAATACAAGAAATTGCGGTTGGGTTTGTTTATTTTAGACTGAATAACGTTTTATCTTAAAGACAATAAGGGCAAGTTATGGCTGGATTTGATCGTTGTTATTTTTTTCAATGCACTAGCTACCGTAGATGTCCTTACAGCAAGATATAATGACGTGGGAACTTGTCGAAACTTGAACTGTACATTTTGCAAATTTAAAAATTGCCTTATCGTTTTCAGGGGATAAACAAACTCGACCGCGATTTCTCGTAGTGGCAAATTTTATCACTTGTTTGCGCCCTGAGATACAACATGACATTGCTTCTATCCCATCAATCCCAAAGCGCGTGCAAAGATGGCGGGTATCGTAAATAAAGTCTATTAACCACGCCTACCTTTAACTCTAAAGAGACCCTTGTTTTACGTGCTACAGCGTTCTTAGGGATTGTTACAGTTACACCTGGATAACAAGGATGATTGAAGGAACCACCATAAGATGTGATGGTGTAAGAGGGAGACGACTTGAGACGACAGACCACTGCGTATGTCGAACACTCAGTTATGTCAGCTTGTGCAACAGGAAGGTACCAGTCCTCAACTTCCATGAGAGAAGGGTACTCACTGATATCTGTAATCAACAAAGTGGATGAATTAAACCCCACAGGCGCATGTCCTCTTTACGACACTCTCGGCAAGCTGGTTGTCTAAACTAAAATTGGACATTTAATCAGACGGGTATAGAACATAAATTAGTAATAACAGAAACTCATAAGGGGTTGAAAAGTAGCTGTGGGCAGTTTAAAAAAACCGTTTAACGACAAATTTGCACCCGCGTCTTGATTTTGCGTACATCTCTTTGCCGCCACTGCATGACTTTGATGTGAAAGTGAATAATTTCACGTTTTGTGGAGGGCGAAAACACAAGACAAAGACTCACCTTTTCTATACAGAAAAAAATTGCTAACATTTGACAAACTGAACGAGATGGAACAAGCGCAATGAAGTTGTAAGCAGCGCGAATCCACTTTTTATATAAGTCACGTTTTCGTACTGCCATCACCGCTGTTGTTGCTTAACGGGAACGTGACCGAGTAAAATTACGTCACGTCGTTCTCTTTTTTTCTCGTTCTAAATATGGTACTTGCGAAAATGGATAATCACGAGCATCGGACAAAGCAAACGTACGAGAGATAAACGTTTCAACCCCTTATGAGTTATAAACTGAAAATTTCAGGTTTCATTTAGAGAGAGTCTTTTTGTTAATAAAGATGGTTGAGACGCAACGTTTTTGACTATGAGTTAATATATAGTTTTCAAAATATCCAAGGCACCTGAATGATCCTGTAAGTCCTCTGTTCCAGCGACCTCCTCCCAAATATTGTTCTCAGTGTCAGTGTGCTTTTTAATAACCACCTCATAGCCAGCTAGATCCGGCGCACTGTGACAGAGGAACAGTTGTACTGCAACATTGAATTTAAATCCTTGGCCTTCGTTTGCGGCGATTTCAATCACGTTGCTAACAACGGCCTCATGGTCATGAAGAGGGGGCGAACGAGCTGTATGTTTCCATTTGTAGACCACTATTGACGTAGGCACCGACACGGAATTAAAAGGAAACGTCAAAGAAAGAGCCCCTGCCGTCGGGTACAAATCGCGGGATTGCTCGCTTCTCAATGTTCCTCTGCAATTAGTCAACAAATCGAGAAGGGAATGAATTTATCTATAAGTGCCAAAGAACCTGTATGTCAGGTGTACTATAAAGTTTTGACGTGGACTTTTGCTGTCACTTTAAACGCAAGCATACTTACGGACAGAATTTTGCCAAGCGGAGACAAGAAGGGGAGAGTGCACTAGTGTAAGGTGGAGGAGAGTAGACGATAATAAGGTAGACCAGCGCATAACAGGCTAGGGTAATCAGTCAACGTAAATGATCCGGCTTAAATACTTACTCGTAGATTACTGTCTTATCTTGCTCTTCTTGCATAGGGCTACCTTCTAGATGGAACTGATGACATTCTGGTGAAAAAATAGAAGGGGGTGAGGATGAGAGTGTTGCATCTCTTGTAGTCTATGAGTTTTTTTAAACTTTTCTCAGCTAATCAGTTCTCATCCTCTACGAACCATATTTGCATGGGTCCGGTCTTGTTTCTCCCCGAAAAGGGAACATCTCTTCGGCATACAGCGCGGGCACATGACCAAAACAGCGGTTGAGTCAATCTGGTCAATCGGGCGAGCAACGTGCTCCGCTAATTTAAAAATTAAGAGCATCGCTAGCATACAATTTACGACAAAAAGTCCAATCTTCCAATAAATTGTATGTTTCAAAAACTGCGAGAAACTCAGTTGACTAAGAAACTCAGAACAGCTTAAAAACCCAGACAGCTTACCTATTACAAAGCGCAAAAGATGCTATAATAGCGCTGTCCAAAACTCTATTCAATAAAAAATCAGGCATTGGACCGCAGTTTCGTCAATTTTTTGCTTCAAGGAAGGTATCTCGGCAACCCGTTTACTTACAATGTTTTTGCGTTAATTTTGATTGGTTTGTGTGAGCTGTTCCCAAAGTTGAAGTCTTGGTGTCTGCCATAAAATTTCGAAACAAAATGCCCTTTCATTTACGGAAATAGGGCACTTGCTATTGACATTTATTTTTGAATCTTACTGACCAGCCTGGCTCTCTGAAGTTGAGCTTTCTAAAATAGTTTTATCAAAACTAAAATTGGTTGGTTAGTCACGTTCACGCCATGTTTCGTTCTCAGACCGCTCAATCCGAACGTTTTCAACACCAATATCATTATATTATTATTTATGAGCTATTGTCCTTGTAGAGCGATTCTAATTAGAGGTATAAGGTGACAGGTTATCCTTACCTTTTCTTATCATCGTTTTGGAAAATTCCTCCTCGGGGACGTCAAATTCTCCCTGACTAAGGTCCGCTGCTGTTTCAACTAAAAAAAAAGCAAAAAACAGGTTGCGTATTCTAGAAATCGAGACAAATTTTAGTAATTTTGTTACCAACGACGGAGTGATAGGTTCTTTGCAGGTTTTCGTTTTTTTTGAGCTCGAGCAAAAGCTTTTCTACTAGATATTCCTTTCCTTTAAAGTAGCCAGGTTGTTTTACGGGGAGGTGCGATCCAACGAGGAGGAGGACCAAATGAGGCCGGAGGGGCAAGAGTTGGGGGCGGAGCTTTGGTTGTCTGAGACTGATTTGCGAACCATGTTTGCAATTGGGACCCTCTGAAATGTTGGAAATGCATTAATTTTAAAACTAACATGGTGTGGTGAAACTTATATACTTTCCAGAAAACGCACAATACAACAACTATTGTCCGAACCTTCGACCTTGCTCGATAACGGAAGTTTAGCTCCATGTTGAGCTAAAGCAGCTGATGCAAGAACGAAAGAAAAAAAGAACAGCAGGTTCAATTTCATTGCTGAAAATTTACGATACAATGTAAAATAATCAGTTTTTCAGTAAAACGTTAAATAAAAAAGTAACTTCGATTCGATTCGTTTTAGTATTACTCCCTGCCCCAATCAGCCTAAATTAGAATAGTACAATACTCCGACTTCATTTTGTTTTAAATCGTTGATCAAGAAAAAAGTGGACCTCCGGCGCCTGTGGGGGAAGGGGGGTGCGCGCGCACCCGTCGTACCCCCATCCTAACGGGCCTGAAACTCTTGTGCATTTTGTGGAGTTAATTCTTGAAACTAGGGCAGAAAACGTCGGCAGTTGCCTTTGAGGTAACTCGGCAAACCCATCATGTACCAGTAGAACCGTTGATTGATTGTCGCAAACAAACTTGAAGAGTTCGTCTCTCTCTTCTCTGGTCAATCGGGTGAGTAACGCGCTCCGCTTATTCAAAAATTAAGAGCATTATTACCCTAAAATTTACGACGAAAAGTCCAATCTTACCAATACATTGTATGTTTCAAAAACTGGGAGAAACTCAGTTGACGAAGAAACTCAGAACAGCTTAAAAACTCAGACAAGCTTACCTATTACAAAGCGCAAACGATGCTATAATAGCGCTGTCCAAATCTCTATTCAATGAAAATTGAATCAGACAGTTTGAAGGCATAGGACCAGTTTCGTCAATTTTTTGCTTCAAGAGATGAATCTAGGCAACCTGTTCAGTAACAATGTTTTTGCGTTAAATAAATTTTGATTGGTTTGTAGGTGCTGTTCCCAAAGTTGAAGTCTTGGTGTCTATCATAAAATTGCAAAACAAAATGCCCTTTAATTTACGGAAATAGGGCACTTTCTATTAACATTTATTTTTGAATCTTGCTGACCAGCCTGGCCCTCTTAAGTTGAACTTTTAGAAGTAGTTTTATCAAAACTGAAACTGGTTGGACAGTCACGTTCAAGCCATGTGTTGTTCTCAGACCGCTCAATCCGAAAGCCTTCAACATCAATATTTTTAGGGTTTCTGAAATAGTTTAATGGCAGCTGAACTATAGTCCTTATAGTGCGATTCTAATAAGAGGTATAAAGTGAAAGGTTATCCTTACCTTTCTTCACCAACATTGTGGAAAATTCCTCGTCGAGGACGTCAAATTCTCCATGACTGACGTCCGCTGCGATTTTAACTAAACAAAAAAAAAAAAACAGGTTGTCATATTCCACAAATCGATACAAATTTTAGCAATTTTGTTACCGACGACGGAGTGATAGGCTGTTTGCATCTCGTGGTCAAGTGACCTTATTAATGCAATTTTTTTCACAAGACCAGAGTTGGAATGAGCATGGGGAAATTAGCTAGAAAGCAAATTTTGAGGTGACTGACGCAAAAGGTTAAGATTTTTTATGTGTTTAAAATATGTCTACAAAATAGAATTATACGGGTTTGTATGTAAAAAAAATGTCAGGCCCGGCAGGTGCAAGACGTGCGCTGTTAAGAGTTTAGAACTTTTAAGAATTTTAAGTTGTCTTTCATGAAAGTCAAAAGTGAGATTCAAGCAGTCTCTTGGAAGGGCACACACAACAAGCGAGTGACAAGACCCGAGAAGCGAGTACGTCAGGCTCAACCTAGACTTGCCTAAAAGTCCTAGCTGAACTTTTTTCACGAGCGCGAAGCGCGAGCGGAAGATTTTTTATGTTTTCTGCGGCAAAAGCGAGCGAGAGAGCGAAAGCTCGTCCTTCGCGCTGGGGCCAACTACCGGAACCGGAAATGAGAAGCGAAGGACTTTGAGAAAGTCTAGGCTCGAGCCTCTTCTGTCTCGTCTCCCCTAGTTGTGCGCAGAGCCATTTTGTTCTAGCCTGCGTGGCAGGCGTCGAGAAACTCGCAGTCTAAATGACGGTAGAATGTAAAAATATTCGCGAGTCTTACCGAGACCGGTGACTTGGCCCTTAAAATTCAACTCCATCACGGCTAATTCCTCGTCAAGATCACCATTTTCTTTCCTACATTCTTCAAAGCATTCCATTACAACGAAACCGGCAACAGCATCCCCTTTCTTGCCTTTTTCCATTAAAAACTTGATAAGGGTCACTGCTTTTTCTTTCTCTTGAATTGCCAAGATCCCACATGTGAACAAAAGCACTTGTTTCAGCTTATCGAGATATATTTCGTTATTGGCTATTTTTTCAACACTGATTTTTTCTTCAACAACATGGCAGCTAAGGAAAAATGCAGCAAACAGTTGTTGGAAAATCGTGTGCAAAAAGCTGTAATACAGACATGGTCTTAATTTGCTGTCTCCAGGGTGAGCTGATAGAAATCCGAATCCAAGTAATTCCAAGGAATTTCCCAACCGTCTCTCGTCAAAGTACTTTTCACGTCGTAAGAGACCGTTTAACGCTACTGAGCCAAGTTGTTTCAACTGATCTTTGTAGACTGCAAGTAGATCCTCATTTACTGGTAGACCATTCTTTTTATTGAAAATCTTTAGAATACAATGAACTATCTCCAGATACAGTCGAGTGCTGTTTTTTGGAAAATTTCCTTCAAATTCTTCACAAATGAGGCAAAGTAGGGCACTGTTTAACGGGTTGAACATAATTTCTTGCAGGTTTTTGTCTTCCTTGACCTTGAGCAAAAGCTTTTCTGCTAGATCATCCTTTCCTTTAAAGAATTTATGCACAAACTCTTGTGCATTTTGTGGAGTGAACTCTTGAATCTCGAGCAGAAAATCAAAGTATTTTCTTATTGGTATACCACCCTGATGTCGTGCTGTAACCAACAAATTACACCCGGGAAGGATTCGACCTTGAATTATTTCAAAAAACGTCGGCAGTTGACTCTGAGGTAACTCGTCAAACCCATCAAGTACCAGTAGAACCTTTGACTGATTGTCACGAACAAACTTGAAGAGTTCCTCTCTCTCTTCCTTATGAATTTCTCGAGGTAAAAGCTGATCATCAATGGCCTGCCAAAGGTCAAACTCTCGACCAACTATGTGACGGCATTTCAGCAAGAGAACCACTTGAAATTTCGAAAGCCAGTCTCCTGAAGTGCTATCCCGCGTGGCCCAATCGTAAGCAATCTTACCGCAGTACATCGTCTTTCCTGTGCCAGGATTTCCTTCAATTAACACTCTTTTGGCCCCTGTGCTTTTTTCTTCGTACGGTTTGAAGATTTCATCCATTTCATTAACTTCATGTATTACCGTCCCCTCAGCGTTTTTCTCTCTTTTGAACATCGTGAGTCGTGCGAAAATTTGCTCAACTGGAAGATAAAAATCCTCAGACCATGGAAAAGGGGATACCCAGCGTTCACAAACTTTGTAGAGTTGGCGAATGTTGTCAATATGCTCAGCTATTGTTAAACCAACTGATAAACAAAAAATAAAGAGACACATCGTTACTGAGTTTTGGCACGTTACTACATCATTTCATTTCATTCATTTTCATTTTCATTTTTTATTCCTCCAATTCCTAGCTGATACATAGTTATGTAAATATAGCTGAGAAAAATAATAAGTAAGAGATAAAGATTTACAAAGGAAATAAACGCGTAAAATAGAAATTACAACACTTAAATTGAATTACATTGTATATTGGAAGGAGAGGAGAGGGGCACATCTAGATAAACTAATATTGTGCCCCTTAAAGTTATGTATAACAAAGGACTTAAGATTATTAATAAAAAAGGAAAGGAAAAAAATGACAAAATAGCTCAGAAAGTTATAGAAGGGATATTGATTCATTAGTATTGAGCCAGGTACCAGCGCAAAAGTGCTTTTTTAAACATTTTTTTAGATGGTTTGTCTCTAATGGATTAGTTGGAAAAGAAAAGACACAGAAAAGCTCTCTCCAATTGTCTCAATGGTCTTGGTCAGTCTTGATGTAAGTGCTAGAACAGAACTGCCAAGTACAACTTCCAATAGACAAAAAAGAAGAAGAACTACGTGTACGGCAATTACAATGCGGAACAATATTTTTCATGATATCAAATGGTAATCTAACCAGTATTTTTGTCACATCAGATGTTGATGCACTTCAAACATATATGACTTATATAAACGAAAACGTATTTAAAGGTTAATATGTTACTGTTTATATACTTCCCTTTTGTCTGTTTCAAAATTAAACGTTCGATCTTTACTTCTCAGCACACGTATACATGTATAAGCCTACATAAAACCCTTTACAAATTGCCCTAAATCTGATTCCACACCACAGCCACATTTCTTGTGGTGGATTGCGTATGCTTTTAATTCGAGTGTGGTGAGGTATTACGCAAGTGGATGGAGACTGACAATTAAGTTATAAAACGTTGTTAGTTTTTCGCTTAAACCAGACACTAAATTACCCACTTTAATGCTTACGTGAATCAGATAGCTAGGCCCTGTCGTAGCAGCTACTATCCTGATATGCCTGCAGAAAATATTATCTGCGGCTTTGCCTTTATATAAAGTATGTGAGAACAAAAAGTCGGTGCTTTTAAGGCTCCACTTAACAAGAATTTTGTTGTCTGATTTTTTTTTACCGTACGCTCTTTCGTTTCGTTACAGCAGTCACTCAAATACATTATGGGCCTATTGTTGAGGCCTCCAATGTAATAAATGACCCTAAATGAAATAAAGGTCCTAAGTGTAACAACTTTTGACCCTAAATGTAATAAAGGTCCTAAGTGTAATTCTTTCAGCTTTTTATATGCTTAGGGTCATAAGACGATTTCACAGCATTTGCTTTTAGCCTTATTACAGGTTAACTGAGTGCCAGAATGTATCTAGAGAATATCAAACACTTTTTTGAGTAACAACTTATTATTCAGTTATTGATATCATTATCACTGTTATTTTTATTGTCATTATTAACTGAAAAGAGTGTTTAATCGCAGTGAAATGTAAATAGTCCTTTGACCGAATAGTGATTAATTGTAAATAGGTTTAATAGTTAGCATTGTTATCAATAATACTACTTTAACGGCAACTTGAAAACAGAGGTCCATGATATGAAGCAAATTTTTCTAAGAACTCTTTATTGTCAAAAAAGGACTGACGTATCTTAAAACTGTAACAAAACAAAAGAGCCCCGTTTATTATAGCAAATTTTCTTAAGAAAGTGTAACTTCATCCATTGGATTGGACTAAAAAAATCTGTTTCATAGGCAAAGGCCAAAGATGTCAAAATTGCAGCCTGTAGTGCCACCATGATTTCTAATCTGAGTCAATAACACAACATCCGCTAAACTGTGTTTACCTTGTCTGTTAACAAATAGGTGCAAGTAAGTGTACTTTAATTGCTCCCTCGTCCTTTCCACCATACATTGGTAACATAAAACCAGGTTCCAACCCCAGAAAACAACAGCTCAACCCCCACGCCTTTATCCATCTGGGGCTGGCTATTATCTCTCTGTATTATCTCTGTATGGGCCAAATTCGTTGCACTAGTGCGCAAGCTGAAACAGCCACTTCGCGCAGTGTCGCGATTGTTGTAGCTTATTGGTGGTAGCCGACAAATATAACGCATTGTGAGTTCTTTAAAGGGTTCACCAAGCTGGCAAAGGGAATTATAGGTGATAATAATACTTATGTCAGTTCCAGTTAACGCGAAGTCTATTATTTTGTCGAGTATTTCATTTGGAAGTTGACTGGTTGGACCACCATTATCATCACAATCACAATTCACATTTTGTTCTTCTTCCTCTTCTTCTTCTTCTTCTTCTTCTTCTTAGCTCTAAAAAAGATTTTGGGTCTTCAAAGTAGAGTCCCTTATATACTTGCTAGAAAAACAGGAAAGCCAGCTGTTATTTGAAAATGTCATTTCATTCATGTGGTGAGATCCTAGAACAAATGTTAGCATAAAAATTCACTTCAAGAAGTACTCCTGGTAGAAATTAAAATCAAAGTCGGGAAGTCAGAAAAACTATAAAGATATACTGCCCTTAACATCTTGCTGTTTATATGTAACTTGGTGTTCACAGCTTTCTGTATGGACCGACCGACATACTCTTTTGGAAAATGGTAAAAAAAAAAAAAACACATTTCTTTTTTTGGCGCAACATTAAGAAACCCCAGAGGCAAAAGTAGTCAATTTACCACGATTGTTTCTAATGAGCATTAGTACTTCCTTCAATTACTAAATTACAACTGTATTTTGAAAACTTTTGTGTAGATTCCATTTGTTTATAATTCGCGTTTCACGACACGATCGAGACGTAGTTAAGTGTTTCTCCTACTTCTTGAGCGCTCTAGCCGCTTTCTAAGTTAATGAATATCTATGAAGGCTACAATAGGGCGAAGAAAGTGAATCGCCAGCTGGCTATAACATTAATATCGTCGCATGTTTCAGTCAGGGACTTTATCAAGCTTGGGGCTGTTATACTACATACATGTATACCGTTAAGACTTCCATTAAATTTAAGGCTAAAACCTGTTACATATATAATTAGACCCTTTATTACATTTAGGGCCAAAAGTTATTACACTTAGGACCTTTATTACATTTAGGGTCATTTATTACAATTGAGGCCTCAACACTATCCGCACTAGCAGACAAAATCACAGTTGTCTTCGAGACTTTAACCAAAAATTGTATGTTAACAATTTTTCTCTCATTGTCAATCCATTTACTCCAAGGTATCAGAAATCTTCCTAAACTCACCATCATCCCTGTCTTTTTGAGTCACTGTTTTCGAAACATCCCACTCTGATGATCAACATCAACACAAGTAAATAACAAAACCAAGCAATGACACACAGAGGAGTGTCTTACGTTCTTTAGCTGACATCCACGAGCCTTATGTGCTCTGGATTATTTACTCTGAGGGGCCCTTATGCAGGCATGCATGTGCCGCAAATTGGTTTTAGACTACCCCCTACTGATAAGGGACCCGTAACTGGGGATACTTTTCTGGGTATCCCGACCTAGAGAGTCTGTTGTCGATGTAGCCTCCTACGCAGACTTTCTTTTTGCTCGTCACGCAATCCTCCCCAACGAAGTCTGCTGAGACGAGCAATAAAAAACGCAGACCAATCACAGCACACTTCAAGATCTGGGAAGTGCACTTTGGACTTAGAAAAATTTAGCGCGAGACGCGAGACTCCAGAACACAGGTAGCCCAAGCACACAACAGGAACGCGGATGTGACTTTTGCTTGCGAGTGGTGTTGTGTTACAAGAGGTTACTTACAAAGGCTTGTATGGAATGTACACGGTTTTTCTTAAAAGAGAGAAAAAATGTTATGTTTTTAAATAAAATCGACTTACCTTATTGCCTTGTTGTATTCTTTGTTGTTTGCCCGCGTCTTAGGCCGTTTTGAAGCGTTTTCCAGGGGCACCCAACGTCAATTTTCGGAAAATATCTGTTCGGAAGACGATTTGAGATCTAGAATTTTCGGAACATCTGTTGTAAAATTTCTTCCTTGCCTGCCTCTCCTAGGATTTTCGAACATCTAAAAACTGGAATAATTGCCCATTTTTGACGGATTTTCACCCTAAAAAGGAAACCTAGAATTTTCGGGAGTCTTTGTTCTGGCTGAAATTTTCGAAAAGGTACGTTTTGATCCCTATAATTTTCGGATCACTAGACTTTCGGCTAGGAAATCCGACCAGATGAAAAAAATTTAGGATATAAAAATATGCCTATATCTACTGTATAAATACTAGAATACGTTTAACAATGCTGTGTTCAACTGGTTTTGAATTATATTCTCTTTGGGTACCCCTGGTTTTCTGCGAGTTAACGCTATTTTGGTGTTCCACTGCTAAGATAAGACAAGGCAGAACAGTGATTTCCGGAGTGTCCGTCGCTCGAGGCGAATAATTTTGCTGGAAATTTACCCCCGGCCTCAATTCCTCCAGGAATTCAAAGCCGAGAGTTTGCATTTTCATGTTCATTCGCTCGATTTGCAATTCCTCCCACAGATCGTTCAATAGCGATGCTTTTATCTCTTGCTCGATCGGCTTCCGAATTTCGAACTAGGCTCTTCCAAACATGCCGTGGACCCATTCACCGATCGCATAGTATGTCGGGTAACTAAAATAAGCCCTGCGAGGGTAGCCAGCAGGGCTAACGGCCGGGGGACCCAACGAAAATATAGTTCAAAACCACTTAAACATAGCATTGTTGAACGTATTTTAGAATTTAAACGGTAGATATAGGCATATTATTATCCCCCAAAAATTTTTCATCTGTTCGGATTCCCTAGCTGAATGTCTAGTGATCCGAAAATTATAGGCATAAAAACTTACCTTTCCGAAAATTTCAGCCAGAAAAAAGGCTCCCGAAAATTCTAGGTTTCCTTTTTAGGTAAAAATCCCTTAAAAATGGGCAATTATACCATTTCTTAGATGTTCGAAAATCTTAGGAGAGGTAGGCAAGCAAGGAATTTTACAATAAATGTTCTCCAATCGTCTTCCCAACAGATATTATCCGAAAATTGACGTTGGGTGCCCCTGTAAGGGGTTTGTTTGTTTGTCGACTGCAGGCCGCTGGCTACCCTCGCCGGGCTTATTTTAGTTACCCGACATACTATGCGATCCGTGAATGGGTCCACGGCAGTTTGGAAGAGCCCACTTCGAAATTCGGAAGCCGATCGAGCAAGAGATAAAAGCATCGCTAGTGAATGATCTGTGGGAGGAATTGCAAATCGAGTAAATGAACATGAAACTGCAAAATCTCTGCCTTGAATGCCTAGAGGAATTGAGGCCGGGGGTAATTTTCCAGCGGAATTATTCGCCTCGAGCGACGGACACTCCGGAAATCACTGTTCTGCCTTGTCTTTCTCCTTTCTCTTAGCAGTGGAACACCAAAATAGCGCTAACTCGCCGAAAACGCTTCAAAACGGCCTAAGACGCGGGCAAACAACAAAGAATACAACAAGGCAATAAGGTAAGTCGATTTTATTTAAAAACATAACATTTTTTCTCTCTTTTAAGAAAAACTGTTTACATCCCATACAAGCCTTTGTAAATAACCGTTTGTCACACAACACCGCATGCAAGCAAGAGTCACGTCCGCGTTCCTATAGTGAGCTTGGGCCGCCTATGTCCAGAAAGGGTTAGCAAAGTCAGAAAAGGTCGTTAAAGGAAAAGCGCTTAGATTTATTGGAACAAACTCCTTAGTTTTATTTGATGAGAGTAACGTACCTCCGTGCAAGAGACTACCTCCAAAATCTCAAAAGAATAAAACCTCATAAAAAAATTCATCTGAGGTTAAATTTGCGGAAGGGAAGTCGGCTTTACTGCAAAAGGATTTTTGTTACGATTAAAACCCTGCCGTTGCCTATCCTTAAGAACACCCTAATGAGAAAATTGCATCTAATTCAAAACCAACCTTCACGAAGAGAAATATCAGAGAAATATACAGTCTCCACTTACCTAGACTCTATTAAGGTCACGTATCACACTAATGACTCGCGTTTCGCCTGTCAACACTTAATTTTCAACTTATGATTGGCCTTTCATCAAACAATCACTCAGTGCCGATTGGTTCTCCAGTAATTTGCACGTGATCTCCAGCTGATAGTTGCGAACAAAGGGAAAGGAATTTAACTGCTCGTTTCAGCAGACGTCCGTAGAGAAGAAACGCGTGACAAAGACCTAAGAAAGTCTGCGTGGGAGACTATTATCGATGGTGAATCCCAAGGAGTTAGTATGAACCATTGTCCTGATCATTCCAGTCCCTTATTGGCCTAAACGGGTATGTGCGGCTGATCATACTCTTTACTGAATGGTTTAGGGGAATCTCAGGACACCGCGTACAAGATGGAGCCGTAGAGGTTAGTAGAGGTTCCACGGTAACAACTTTTACAAGGATTAGTCTGAACTGAACTCTCCAGGATCGGATTGATCAACAATGACATAATAATAACAATAACAACAAAAACAATAATAAATAATGATAATAATTTTATGAGGAAACTCCCGTCACGTTACGTGGTTTCCAGGGAGGACCTCACTACGATTAAATAGTGTTGAAATCACTAACACCAATTACAATCAAACTTAAAAATTTAACTATTTCCCAAATATAGAAGGCTAACGCCTAAAAAGCTAAATGGTTAAAAAGGTTAAGCAACTATAAAGGCTAAAATGAAATATTACAAGCTAAAGTACAATACTTGGAAATAAAAAAAAGCTTTCTTTATGTCCCAATTAAAAGTTTCCTTTAAAAAAAGATTGGGAGGACTTGTCCAGTCACTAATGCACCTATAATAACTTGTTGTTTTACCACAATCAGTTCTCGGGTTCGTATGGTGGTATCTATTTCTTGTGTTATGTCCATGCAAGTCTCAAGGTGCTCTGGTATGTCCCCTTTAAAAGAATTTTTGTACCGCAGAGCATCAGAAAGCAAAGTGTCGCCCATCTAGGGGGATCCATTTCAGGGAATTGATTGCTTCAGACGATGATTACCTAGAATTCTTTTCGAACTCTATTCTGAAACACTTATAAACGATCCATTTCAGAATTCAAACCAGGCTGATCTCCCAAAAGAAACAATGTCACCATAGGTTAACTGGGGTAAAACTGAGCCGTTGAACTGAATGCGAGTCATCTAGCATCTAGCAAATAAGAAATTAAGTAACCGAATATGTCACTCATAACAGCTCATGTAGCCTCAATAAAATAACACCTCCATATACATTACCGTGAATGCGGTCCATTAATCTTCCCTGTTCTTTCATGATATGTTTCACCATATCATGTTGCATTTCTTGAAAGGTCTGTCTGAAAACCCGGAAATCCTCTGCAAGTAGAAAAGTAATTGACTGTATTTCATGCATAGACTACATAAAATAGAAGAAATCAAAGGGTTCAGAAATCATCTTCGGAGACTCATCAGAGGCAGGTGGTGGCGAGGGAATCTCTTCTTTTTCTGTCCGTTCACTCACCTGCACTGCACGCTCCTGGGTCTTCGAGGATTTTGAGAAGTACAATGAGGTAACGTAAAAGTTTGAAACTTTTACAGCCGGCGGAAACAGCCGTTTCTCCTCGCTCTTTGCCGCTGAGGACGTTTCCGCGCGAAACGTCTCCAGTGGCGAAGAGCATTTTACGTAAAGGTTAGCATATTTTGAGCTTGGATAACCTTTGAATAAAGCAATAAAATAAACAAATGCAGAGAAGAATAAAATTCTGGATTGAGGGATTCGAACCCTGATATCGGTGTGTACTCTAACCAATTGAGCTAGAAAGCCAACTGGCAACAGATACGGTCAATAAATTTGTTGGTAATATACAAGGGAAAGATGAAGATGAAATGATGAGTATATGAATTTCATGTATTACGAACTAATCAATTAATGACCAGCTGCCAGTTAAAGAGGCCTATTCTCCACACCATACTCATCCAAGGCTAGAATTGGTAAGTGGCAGTCTCCCTAAGACCGATCTGACGATTTTCGGGTCGGAAAAAAAGTTTGCCTTTATATTCTGTGGACAAAAAGTCTTTGGTGTACATGTAATAAAACCGAGCTAGTTTTTCAGATTTCTTGCTTTTCTTTTTTGTTACACGCCAAAACGACTTCCGCCATCCAAGGACAGAATTTGGACCGATTCACAGGTCAAAAATAGCGACTTTTGAAGATCGCTACAAAACGATTGAAAACGATTTTAAAAAACCTTAACACACGAAATGGAACATCAAGAAGGGTTTTATCACGTGGTGGTGGTGGTGGTAGTAGTAGTAGTAGTAGTAGTAGTAGTAGTAGTAGTAGTAGCCGCAAGTTGTGATTATGTTAGTGTGAATCCTATGGGTCAGCACTTTTTGCCGTTTAAAATAGTAACAGTGGCAGTATTTCGAGCTTTTCTATATTTACTCTACCTGCTGAACATACCTAGCAACGAAATAGGGAAGAAAAATCGTGAAGAGGACTTAAAACAAACACGAAGGGAACGGCCTGTTTTCAAGAAAAAGGTTGGCAACTATGACAAATGTGAGTTTTCTAATTTCTTCCTGTACCAACGAGCCAAAATGATTATTAGTGTTTTGGTAACATGGATGATAGTAGACTGCAATTTGGCGGTCAGAGTTTTATTATCCTTTAAGTTGTGCGCTATAGATCAATTCAAAAATGACCGATTTTTGGCTCTCTTGCAGACACTGAGGTTAGGTCAGGTAAGATAAGACAGTTTTAGTCTTGCTCCTAGCTACTTAACAAAGTTTACGGTTTTCGAAGATAGTCCTGTGTTGTGTCGTATCGCATACAAAAAATGAACTTCGCTCGTTTAATTTTGGGAAGTTTGTGAGCTTCAGAAAATGGTAAATTTTGCTGACAAAAATGGCATCCGGGGGGGTCAAATAAAGTGATGCTCGTATCTCTGATACAAGAGCAGTGAAGAACCTATGTTTATTATATTTGTCCATTACTCCACCTGACCTTTCTATGATGTTAGTATGAGCTTATTCTGTTGATCCCCTTCCGTTGACATTTTTAACATTGTGCCCGGTTTTCTCTGACAACCACTCTTAAGTTCATAGTTTTGAGAATTTTTCAATAAAATACCTGAAAAAACCCTTCTTGATGTGCTCTTTGGTGCGTTAAGGTTTTTTAAACCGTCATTTAATGCCCTGACATTTTAAAACTTTGCCGCCATTTTGGCACTAACACGTACTGGACGTTGCTATGGCAACTTTGTAATTTCACATGTGAAATTATAAATTAACCCCAAAATTAAGGAGTCATTTGTCACCCATGATATTACTTGAGGAATTTTAGTTCGAGTTTGTTTTCTTCTATACCGTGGTACCTGTTATATCATCAAGTTTCTCCTTGATGCTATTTTCATCCCTCTGGCATTGTTGTAGCAGCTCTCGGTAATTTCTCTCCATGTATGGATCAATGCCTTCACTTTTCAGTTTATTGATACTATTTGCATCTACACCCAGTGCTTTCAGTGCGGCACTTATATCCTGCCAAAGTGAATTAAATGTTGCATCATCCACAGACGCCTCTATGGCATGCGCATAGAATCTGTTCCTATAGTACTTTATTTTGGCTATGTTAGCTTGCACACTCTCGTCTGAAGAAGGTGGGAGGTTGTCCCAGCCACGGATTGGAGGAGTCAAACCACAAATGTGTTTCAGTAGTAATGTCAGTAGTCTTATGTCAAATTGTTCTGAGGACACAGAAGATGGAACGGCGGGATACAGTGTTTCCCACTGATTAGAATTTAAAGCTGCACTTCGTCTCAGACTTCGAAGCGTAGATTCGTGGCTTTTCAACACGGCATTAAGACTCCTTGGGGGATGGATCATGTCAAACTGGAGCCTTAAGGCCTGTGTACCCCCATCCACAAGAAGGCGGCAAAGACGAGCGTAATTTGTTGACTCTTTGGAAGACGCTGCTATAGCCATAGCTTTACACCAGTCTGTTAAAACTGCAAAAATAAAAAAACAGTTGGGTTACCATCATGTAGCATGTTTTTGAGGTAAAGTAAAAACGCAAGTTATAACCAAAAATAAAGAGAACTGTAAAAACGTAGCTGCAATTGACCACTCCAGAAAATATCAGAACGTATCATAATTCTCTTTGTTCGTCGTCCCAAAATTTTGCATAAGCATTGTCTTCAATTTCTCTTGGGAGTTAAAATGGCCTCAAGAGAAACTGAAAACAATGCTTATGCAAAATTTTGGGGTGACAAAGAAAGAGCATTATGGTATGTTATGGAATTTTCTGGCGTGGCCAATTTTAAATACTCGATGAGCTAAAAAAGGGCTTTGTTTTTTTCTGATCCAATTCGCCCTTGGGCGCATGCAGCGCGTGCGCAAGATATAAGAGTATGCGTAAAATAGGTCAGCGGACTAAACCAGAGTACATTGCTGCCTGAGACATGGTGAGCAAAGCCGCAAATATTTTTCTATGGTCGAGTTGAGTTCAAGCCCAAACGTCAATGGGCAGGTCGTGAAAATCGTACGACCGGAGGTTTAGATGCCAAAAGGGTTTTAAGATGGATTGTTGACTAGACTGTTCACAGTCCTCTATTTTTCCGTAAGATCATCGAGATCGAGAGCTTTGCGTTACGGGCTGCCATCTTACATGAGTGTCAAAACTACTTAGGGGGCGGGGACGGTTTGGGAGGAAGCGAGAAAAATAGAGGGACTGTAATAACATCACTGCAGCTCGCGTTCAGGAGGCGTGACAGGAATTTCACGCCTTTTACCATTCATTAATTAAGAAACTCCACCGGTGATGAGAAACATGCCAGACACATTTAGCATCGACTACGCATGTTTACAAATATCTCCTTTCGAAACAGTGATTTTGTAATGTTTCTGGGCCATTCCTCGAAATAAAATCGGCAAACATGCACAAGAAAACATTTTCCTAATCAAAATACTAAAAATCCTTCGTGTGTTTGCGCCAGATGTGCCTTATGGTACGAAAGCGTACGTTTCATGGAAACGTCGACTTGTCAACGACTTGTCAATGTCGGCAACATAAACTAAACCCGTTGTCAACATCTATTGTCTAATGACCAATCAAACGCCTGCGTTGCTGGTACAACGCGCTCCGTGAACGCGAGCTGCAGTGATGTTATTACAGTCCCTCTATTTTTCTCGCCCCCCACCCCCCTCCCGAGCTATCACCCCCGACGCCCGCCCCCGCGGTACATTTGAAAATCAAGATAGCCGTGACGGTAAGACGCGGTATATCTAAACGATCTCACGAAAAAATAGGGGACTGTGAACAGTCTAATTGTTGACTGACTTAAAACCGCTACAAGAGACCTAAGAACTGAGATTGCCTAGAAACCACCAAAGCCAATCATAACCTGGGATAAAAACTTAAACCAGAGACAAGATCAGTAGACAAAAACTTACAGAGGATTCAAGGGAACTTGGTCATATGTGTACCAGTGCAAGCTCGAGAAAAAGTTCACAACGATCCCCTAGGTATCTCTGAGATGGTGAAAAAAGGTACTATTGATGCCCTAACTCTCATTTGTACCGTAATCTTTGGCCTTAAGCGGCGCTTTGATAGAATTAAAACAGAGAAAAACGTATGAAGATTGTAAACACCTCTACTCCAACAATGTGTCTTCCACTGCCTCACAAATGGTTAAGGAAAAAATTACAAAAATCGTGGACAAAAATTCCGCTGGGAGATTTCTAATAAGCTAAAAATCTTTCAAATGTAGAAACGGGAAGTCCAAAGACTACTGCAAAGCTGAAACAACGTGTATGCACACAATATTTCGGCTGGCCAGACCAACCGTCCTCGGGTTTTCAAATGTTACTATCTCTAAAAGGAATTGCAGTATTACTAATGGTGACGACTCCACCTTGCCAAAAAAGCTAAAAAGATTCAGCTGAGGCAACTACAGTGAGGAGAAAAATCCAAAGCCATCCATAGGAGGATACCTGTAAAACGCAAGGGTACAGGAGCTACGAAAGTTATAAAAGCAAAGGGTTTCGTTAAAGACACAGTCAAATGTTATTAATTACACCCCTTCAAACAAGCCTTTAAATGTGAAAGTTCAAGCCACTTCTACCGAAGGAACAAGGAGGAGGAATGAAGGGAGATGTAGGGACTTAATGCACCCCACCCACCCCCCACCACCACCACCACCACTATGTTCTCAGCGGTTTCCAACGGGTAGACTGAAAAACGTCATCCCTGCATGGAAAGAAATGGCCTCATATCCACAACAGCTGGACCGAGTGGAGCATTGATTCATATTTAGTTTGTAGACAATGCACTTCCCTCATGGAAGGGGAGTCCTAGCATTCAACCACAGAGACTGGCATAATTAATTAAAAACTGGCGTAATAACCTGTAACTTTAGAATGCGTTCATATTAAAAGCATGGCTATCTTTTCACAAATACTTTGCAGTTCAACTTCCTCCACCCTAAAAATTAAGGATATACAGCCGTCAACGTTGTATATTGGGAGGGGAAGGGGGTGGGCGTATGTTGTTTAAAAAATGCGCCACGAATATAAATTTATCCAAAGAATTTTTCCCATGATTGGAGCTCTCGGAGGGAGAACTTATCTCGTCAAGATTCCTTAGATCAGAAAAGGCCAGGCGGTGTGCGTCACGACCCACAAAGGTTCATGAGTAAAACTGTTACTGTGCCTCATTTCAATCGTGACACGGACGAGTTCGCATCTCGTAAGAGAAATGAATCAAACCCAGGGATCAAAACACTGCTGCCTTTTCCGAAAAACATTACGCAAGAGAGCGATTTCGAGAAATTTCAAGATCTCATAGTGGCCTTAGATGCTTGCTATTGGGTTCACAAGACAATTTCAAGAAGTTTATCGCGATTCGGAGACGATCGTGCGATCTAGCCGACTTTGAGCGGCGACTAATTTCCTGCTTCTCATAAGATTTTATGTACTGTTTGGTTTATATGTATGTTTTTATCTCACAGTTAAAGAGATATGTAGTTCATACCTGGATTTGCTTAACTAAAAAAAAATTCATTCATTAGAAGTGTTTATATATTTGATGGACTTTCTTACCCGCAAAGCAGGGGGAGCGCGTGCAAACAGCAAGGTGAGAAATCGTCTCTCATAACAATTTTATTTTCATCGACAAGTTTATATTATTTTGAAAACAGTGCCCGCTTGAAATCCTTATGAGCAAATAAATCTTCAATCAGGCAAGGGGAAAACGGACCGAAAGAGCCGAACAGCTGCAGCACAATCGGAATTTCACCGAAGCTACAGCCGCAGAAATAAACAGTGAAATAAACCACGATCTTGTCTGTGCGGTCATTGAAGTGAGCGCAGTATATCGATTTTGTTATAAAGTAAAACCTATCCTCACAGTTTTAAAATCCTGTATGTTGTCTGGATCTTCGATAATGGTGTTGTGTTTTTGGTAGAGATTTATAACAATTCATTCCCTCACGTATTAAAGTTTACACAAAGATAGCACACACCGCATGCAAATTATTTTAAAGTCACGCTTTCAGTTTCCGCACTGGGTTATGAAAAATGTCTTGTTTCCAAAGGTTATTACAATATTCAAACTTATTTACCTTTTGTGGTTTAAAATAGAACAAAGTCTTCCTGGATTTGGCGTTACTCGCTTCACGTCGGCTTCCGCTTTGGCATGTTTTTTTCAGCCCGTTTCCCGGGAGTTGTGCCACTTGGCTGAGACGATGTCTTAATTCCAAGACACTTTCAACGGCTCATAACTGGAAAACTAACAGGGGTAGACCCGGGTAGACCCCGAAAATTGCAAAGAAGAAGGGTTGAAGTAACAAGATGGCCAAAATAATTCGATAAAACCGCTAACAGTAACCAGCAATAAAGCCAAGAAGAACGGCAAAAACAACATTCAAATCCTCATGGCGGCCCGCACATGACCGAGCAATTCAAATTCGTCACAAACGCTCAAGAAAGCAAAATATTTAAAAGTAACGCAACTGCTATCAAGATAAAGTGTTCCAACAACTTTCCACGGCGGTATAGTGTCGAAATTACCAACACAAGCTTGGAATAAAGCGAAAATTTCACCACGTATACCTCTGCAAAAAGCTCTTTCCGAGCACGAAACTCACTCTATAAATGACGCATTCTGATTGGTCGAATCTCGTGACGCACACCGCCTGAGAAAAGGCTGAATGGAATAGAATGCACAATGATTCGTAAGTTGAAGAAGCTTAACTCTACTCAGAGCGTTTTTTGTTTTGCCTCCTGCGACCGGGTGGGGCCTTGGAGCCCCCCCCCTCTATAACTTCAAACCGCTCAACCTAAGGCTACCAAAATTACACACTACACAACTTCTGGGCATAACTTGATTGACATAATAACGTAATCTGAAGTCATGGTGACGTCATATCGTTGAATTTATTAGCAGAATCCAAATTTCCCTC